ATAACTACGCGAAACCTATTGAAATATTCTAATTGTGGTCAGTGGTCGTGGTAATACACACCGTGGGAAATGTTTCGTGTACAAGGCGTTTGAGTTGTATGGAGTCTTTATGGTTCAGATCTTCGAGCAGCTGACTGGTGGCGGCGGCGCTATCATAGCAGTTGGACGTGGAGTTATTGTGCCGCCGTTGCAATTGGATCGCTGCGTGCGTAGTAAACTTCGTCGACCACGAGTCTTTACTTCTACGCCTGTCTTGCGAATACATCGAAATCGTCGTCTAGAACCACTGTAGATGAGACAACAATATTGAACAGTGTTTGAGAATGACGAAGTTACTGAAAACAAGATAATTATTTTTAACATAGAAAAATAAATGTCTAGTTTTATCATCATACATAGATACTCCATAGATGCACGCATGGGCGTGGCTTATAAAACTATTATAGTGTCATAACTGACGTTTTATTAACTGATGTTTTAATTTTTATTAACAAAATAAGTGCAAACATAGACTCTCGCTCAAGGCACATAAAATCACATCAGCTATGATTTGATTTATTTAGTATGTTTACTTTTATTTTAGAATGCACTGAAGTGTTAATGGGCGAGAATTTACTATGACAGCTGACAACACTGAAAACTGATTGTGGTTGGACAAAATTAGTAATTAAAGTGAACTATTTATTACGTGCATATAACGACGATAGACTAGAAATTTTCCGGCGTCTCGTCAGAGGTTCGTATTCCTATACTATGTCAACGTCAAGGGCATAGTTATCAGTGTTATCATATAAATTTTATTATGGTTAAACAAACATAATTGTCAATACAAAAATACCGAATATATTATATACAATGTAAAATATAATGACTGGCTCTTTGAATATAGATAGAATAAATAGATATGTATGTGAATTTAATTATAAAACATTACTTAAACAAACAAAATATTATGTGACATTCTGTATCTGTATCCATATCTTTGAAAGGTAATAAATAACTATATARGTACAATTACAATTCCATACTATACACTAATGCAAATTAACAACGTATTTATAATATTTTAAAGATTTATAGTTTTGTTGAAAAATGTATAAGCTATTTAAACTATCATAGAAAACTGAAAAATAAACCAATATTATGATGACTTGATTTAAAGTAATAAAATATTGTTTTCCATGACATAGCAATTTCATTCGCGGGGGTTATTGGCACGGTAATATCTGCTATTGGCCCTGCAGGTGTTCGGGTAATCTTTGCTTGAAGTACACAAAATACAGTGGAAAAAGTTCGTTATTGTTGTACTTTAAATGACTGAAACAATATACCTATACTATTCATAAATAATGGTAGTATTGAAAAKAAAAACCAATCGACACAAAAATGTGCAGACGCCTTGGGTAAGCTGCGGATTTTGCATTACAATGAATTCGTCACTGAGCACACCCAAGATTGAAAACATCGACACCCGAACACTCAAAATTAATAATAATAAATTGTTAATGAACTTTATCTTCAAAGTTTTTTTTACAATTTTAGTGTCACTGTTATGCAAACTTGTATACTGTCAATGGAGAACGACGGAAATACAAGTGCGAAACGAATGGTGTATCATATATATATATATAAGTACCTATATAAGGTTAGCTCGAGTGTAATAAGCTATTATAGATGATATTAGCTGTTTAATAAATAATACTAATATAAGTATATATCTGAAWAAATACTTAATWTAATAACGTGGTACCAATATTTACTATATTTTAATACCTAAACGGGGTCATTGATCAATCGTCGCAGTACTTACTCACACGTTGGTAAATGTTTTTATTACAAATCGTCCAACTGTATTACAGGTATTACTGTTTAATTCGTCAAACATCGGACGATTAGTGTCATAAGTCATAAATGTAGTGAAACACTAACGGCGAGGCACTTATCTCCTCAAAATAGTCCGCAACGTGCTTGGTGAACTCCGATTTATACTGGTGAAGACGTCTTACTGCGGCTGCTACCAYTTCAAGTRCACTGTCGTCGTGCATAATGGCAGCGGATGAACAGAATATATTGAAACGCCAGCCGTTCTAGCTAAGAGCTAATTTAAAATAAAACAGAAATTATTTATAGAAAAACAAATGATTTATTTAGGTGTACCTATCATCTGATATTTAAGTTATGTTTGAAGGATACGACAWTATTTCACACTGAAATTGCATGTAAATATACGTACCTGAGTTATGTTTTCCATACCAAACACTTCGTACCTATATGTATTATATCAAAAATATATTATATGCTCTTTCAGTCGTTCGCTTACCTTAACTTGAATGAGTGCTCCTAATAAAATATTGTACGAACGATGCAGACAATGTGTTGATGACGGTTTTCGTAGAGTATAAGTAWCCGAGAATGCTAGTTTTACAGTGGATATATTTCAATATTTGGCTAGAGATTGAGCTATGAATTAAAATACGTGATTTTATTGCTTATCTCGTATTGATATATTTATTGTTACTTATTACTATATATTATGTTATCGTTGACGTCGGCATTGGTACTCTCAGCTTACTGTCAGCGCCGATAATCAATGAAACCTTAAGTAGATATATCTATAGTTATTATTTAATTATTTATGATTTCTGTGTTTTATCGGCGTGGCAGAAATCGCAAAGTTAGTATTAGGTATTATAACATGTCTTTCTCTTAGCGAAGATAACGGTTAGCTTTCTGTATTAAAATTTATCTACTGCGGCAGTGTATAGGCTTTAAAGTAAATTATCATCTATTTTTTAGTAAGTTAATAAAGTGTGTAGGTAGAAGGTAGTCCAAAAAATACTTAAATATGATATAAGCCTAAAATCAATTAGAATAGCACAATTTTTTTGGAACTGATAACTTTCTAAAAATCATAATAGTTATTATTTTATTTTAATGAATACTACCTGSACTTATTAAATTTATAAACAAAAGAAAATTTCAATTGTTTTTGTTTGACCACCGCAACGTTTAAAACAAAATATATTCAACGTTGTATCAACTATATCATCATAGATATCGTCGCAATAGTAGTCATCGTTGATATCGTCTTCATTGAGTTCGTTGTTGTAGTCATCATAGAATATATCATCATAATAAGAGCCATCATTGATATCGTCGTCATTGAATTCATTGTTGTAGTCATAATGTTCGTCGTTGTAGCATATTTGGTCAAGTGTGTAGTCATCATATACATCATCGTAATAGTAGTCATCGTAGATATCGCCGCAATAGAAGTCATCATTAATATATCGTTGTCATTGAGTTCGTTGCTGTAGTCGTCGCCATAGTAGTCTATGTCTGCTAAGTACTTAGTTCGGTGGAATTTGACTCGGAAATATTTGCTCTCGGTCATATGCTCCGGTCTCTTCCGGTGGTACACAAAATACAGTGGATAAAAATCATTATCATAGTACTTAACGTATACACGGCCGTGATTATACCCATCGTTGTATCCGCTCGGTGGCGGGGTGGGGGGGGGTACTTTTAACGTGTTCCCTTTGATATTCCTTAGAACCACGTACGTTTCATTAATCAGTAAGAATCTCCGAGGATAAACAGAATATTATATTGAAACGTCGGCCGTTTGAGCGGTGAGCTTACCAAAAAGAAAACTCAAGGATTATTGATGGGAATACAAATATTTTTAAGTTGTGTCTGGAGGGTTTGACTGTATTTCATCACACATAATAGGCTGCACATATGTAAATAGATCAAACACACCTGCGGTATATCTTCTTACCTAAAAACTATATCATTCGTAACCGTTCACATACCTCAACCTGTTTAAGAGTGTTACTCACAAAAAACGCCACGCACGATGAAGTCGATGCCGGCACTCATAGAATAGGTACAAGTAGTCAAGAATATACTAGCTTATTTACCATGGATATTTTAAGCAAATGTTTAGGCGTATCGCCCAATATATTTTAAGTTGTGTTTGGAGGGTCCGATAATTTAACACTTTAATTGCATACCAATTAATTTTAGTTAATAGGTATATCAATATCATATAATCATAAATCTTCCGTATCGAACACTTCGTACCTATATTATACCTATATAATTGTTTGCTATCCTGGTTGAGTGTTTCTAAGAAAATATTCTATGCACGATGCAGTCGATGTCGACACTCATATATATTATATATGAACTTAAATTTCTATTTGATATAAAATTAGTTCAAAATAAAATAAATAATAATGTAATATAATATTATAGCATAATCTGATTTAAACATAAAAAAACTATTTTATTAGGGCTGAATACTCATTTAAAAACATACCATCTGTTGTATTATGTTTAATGATTATTAATAGTTAACTAATTATAATTTGATAATATTATATTATACAAGTGTAATTGTTTTGTTTTGCCCCCACCACACAGTTTGAATCATAACATCTTTAACGTTTTATCAATATTAAAAGAATACAAAATATACAAACTGTATGAATAAATCAGACTAAAATTGTCTCGTCAGTTTATTCGCAATTAATTATTAAAAATGAATTTAAATTTTGTTTTACAAAGAGTTGAGTAACAATATTGAACGATGGAAGTGTATTCAAAAACAATGCAAAGCATATATAAAAATTGGTAAGAAAACTAAATTTGTAATAATTAAGTTTTTATAATACTACAATAAAGGTCAGRTTATTAGGTTCTTAAAAGCTTAAAATATGATGCTAATATGTTCTAAAAAAAAACTTTAAAATATTATCTAATTATTCCTTAATAACCGTTTATACAATTTGGCTAGGTAATAAATTTAAGAGRATGAATATTTCACTTAGGGCAATCTTGGTGGCAAAAAATTCAAGATTTAAAATTGTCCACTCTTTTTAGAAATGATAATTTCTGAGATTGATAGATGTTTAAAKTACATATTTGGATTGCCATTTTTAACACCAGATGAAGTAAGCGATTTTTTTGCTTCTGATCTGATGGGAATCAAACAAGTTGATGARAAAGTTGATTTATTTTTGGATTACTTAGTTGATAATTATATTTCGTTTATAAAGCAGTTTATTTAGWTAAGAAAATAACAATATACAACCACAGATGTCTATACCATACTATAAACATCAGTGTGACTGTATATAGTAGGTATGTACGATAATATGCATAATATATATATAGGATTATGATGATGACACACTTGTTAGCTATTAGTTATAATTTTATAAAGTATGCATTAAGTATGCATGTAAACATTAAAAAATTAAGCCTACTTTTTTTTATAAAAACTTCATAAGGGTGTGTGAGCCCACCGTAACACTTTGGGGAAGTAAAACTTTTTTCATAAGTATTGGGGCCCATGAAATTATAAGTGAATTACAAATTTTAAGCTATAAATTATAAGTCATAAAATATAAAATTTTAAATTATCAATTATAAAAATATAAATTATATTATTAAATATATTTATATAATTATACTATATATATATATAGGWATATATATTTGCGTAAAAACAACAAAGGTCTAACAACTGTCATTATAACAACAATCGTTGCRTTTCATTTTTCGTTATTATTTTTTTTACCCACAACT